ATCACTTCCACCCTTATGTGGGTGCTGAACTCTTTTTTTCCCTTTTTCTAGGAAAAGCCCAATGAGAAGGACATTTTGCATCCCCAGAACTCTCTTCTCTGGGTTATTTTGCATCTTTTTTGCTTGGTGAGGATTTTCTTTCCCATCATATCACCTGTGCTATGTCTCATACATTAAAAAATATATTTAAAAATATTCCACACAGACTTCTTGAGTTCTCTGTACCTGGGAGGTTTTAAAAGATTTTAAATATTTTCAGGAATAGAAATCAAAGCCTTCATTTTATTTTGTACTTTAATGGCTAATATCTTCCCAAATACTTTTCTATTAACAGCTGTTAGGGAGATTCTGTGCCAGATTTTAGTTCAGTTTATGAGAGACATTTCTGTTACAGTATCTGGAAGACAGAGTGTTTTAAGGGAGTGCTGAGTTCTCTGGAGGTCTAAACTGTAGATAAGACTTTTCATTTTGGGGAACAATTTGTGAACCATGGATAGAAAAATGGAGAGATAAAGAATATGGACTATTGTTAAAACCCACAATTCTTTGTTACTAGTGCTGATCCTAATGCTGAGTATTGTGAAAGAAATTTACAAATAGTATATTACATATAATATTGCATCTTACATTATACATTACACTGGAAACTTCCATGAATTTTCTAATATATTCTCTATCACAATGTTACTGTGGTAAGCATTGTTACCCACTTTGTAGTAAAAGTGAAGTTATAAGAAACTAAATTTCTTAGAGTCATATGTTAAGTAACTGAGCCAGATTTAAAATTAGTTGGTTGATTTCAGAGCTAAGGTGCTTTCCTCTACACTAAGCTGTGACAGTCCTTGCAGTAGGACACTACAGAGGGGTAGGCTGTCGTCTGCATCTCCCAGGGGCAGTTGAGCAATCTCTTTCCTGCCCTTGCTCTAAGCTCCTATCTGTTCCTTTAATTAAATCCCACCATTCAGATTTTCAGTTGCTGTTTGAAAAGAATTATACACAACCCCAAATCAATTTTGGCTGAAAAGGGAGAACTTCCAAATATATACCACTGGGGGATTACATAATGGCATCACTTTGATTTTTACTGCAAATGCTTAGGGATAAACACGGTAGTAAATATGCTATCTTGTTTAGTAATTTAAATGTTCTTTGCAAGTCATTAGGTCCTGTCACTTCCAAATACATGCTGTTCCTTATGCAGGAGTGATATCACTCCCTGACACAGCCTTTTCTTCCAGGACAGATGTTGCTGGAGTGTAGGCCTTAGGGGGCTGCTCCTCGCACTGAGAGTAAAGAGCTTAGGAGGCAGTTCTTCAAATGATTTACTGTTTATGTATCTATTTGTTTATTTTTGCACTGCTGGGTGTTGAACCTAGGGACTTTATGTCCCCGGCCCCCCTTTCTTTTGTATTTTTAAATCTTAAAACAGTGCCCCACTAAGTTGCTGACTTCAGTGGGCTGGGCTTAGAACCTAAGATCCTCCTAGCGCAGCCTTTCAGAGTACTGGGATTACAGGAGTGTGACACCACTCTCAGCCTGACTCCATTTTTGATGTTTAACTGCTGAAAGCTTTCTAGCCCCACTTCTCCGTTTTGTCACTATGAGGCTTTGGCACCAAACCTCACATGTCTCTTCTGGCATCTTGGGCCCAGGCTAGAAACAGTTAAGTACCAAGGATCAAGAGAGCACTTCAGCCTCTTTCTCCCTAAATTCATATTCAAATATCCTCTGTTCACAGACCAGAGAGAGAAGTAAGCCAGCAAGGATTGTTTGATATGATATTCACCTAATGCCTATGACTGTTCTCTCCTCTATCTTTTTAGTATGAGGGAACACTCAGTCACAAGCATGATCTGAGACTATTTTATCCATCTGGACTCTTGGAAATGAGAGAGGGTATATATAGGGCAGAAAAATGGATAAGCATCCTTAAGCCAGATTTCAGCACTGACTTTCTTAACTATCTTGTCTGTTGAAAAAAGAGGCTCCAAGAGACAGGAAAGAGAGAAGGAGAAAGAAGAGATAGGGAAAAAAGGAGGGAGGGACAGAAGAAGGGAAGGATAGGGAGAGGGAGAGAGTGACAGAGAGGGAGGGAGTGAGAGAGGAAGGGAGAGAGAGAGATTTGACCACACCCTCAGCACTGTGACGTCATAATGGAAGTCCCTGACTGGCCAGTCTCACTGAGTCTTCCTCTAGTGTTGAGGGGAAGGTAGAGAAGGGTGTAGGATGCATTATCCACTACTCAACACATCAACACAACTTTTCCAAAGTCCACCATACCAATAATGAGCTTATAAACTTAGAGAAAATAAACTTTAGGATAAAGAATTCTATTTCTTTTTTTTCTAGCCTGGATGTTACTTATTTACTTGCCTATCTGTACCTGGTTAGTACCCCCAAAACAAGGTTGTGTAGCAACAGGAAAAGCTAATGTTCTTGTCTTGTTCCTGATCACAAGAGGAAAACATTCAGTTTTCACCATTTGTTATTGTGCAGGTGTAGTTTTCCCATAGGTATTCTTTACCAGGTTGAAAAAGTTCTTTTCTTAGTTTAATGAGAGGGCCAGGGATATAGCTCAGCAGCACAGTGCCTGCCTGGCAAGTGCAAGATCCTGAGTTCAATTCCTGGTACAACAAAAAAAAAGTTTAATGAGAGTTTTTGCCATGAATGGATGTTTTGAATTTTGGCAAATATTTTTTCTACGATTATTCAGATGATTATATGATTTTTTTAGATGGTTAATATGTGACTACATTGACTTTTTGAATCTAAACTGACCTTGCATTTTGGAGATCAACTCCACTTGGCCATAATGTATTAGTGGACTCAAATTGTTTAAATTTTTTAAGGAGTTTTGGGTTTATCTCATAGTTGGAATTTAGGGGCTGGGGATTTTAGTTCAGCGGCACAGTGCCTGCCTGGCAAGCGCAAGGTCATGTGTTTGATTCCTGGTACTGGAAGAGAAACAAAAAAACAAAACAAAATCATAGTTGGAATTTGTTTGTAGTTTAGTTTTCTTAGGATAATTATCTGGTTTTGTGATAAGGGTAAGGTTGAAATAATGGAATGAGTTCAGAAAACTACCTCAAATTTTATTTTGTGGGAAGAGTTTATGTAGAATAGGTATTATATATTTCTTAACTTTTGGGTAGAACTCTCCAGTACATACAATTTTCTTTTCAAAATACAGGGTTATTCAAGCTATGTCTACTTGAATGGGCTTTGGTCTTAATTGTGTTTAAAGGAATTTATCTATTTTATCTAAATTGTATTTATCGGCATAAAGTTTTTGTAATACTGCTTAGTCTTTTTTTAATGCTGGTAAGATCTTCACACTCCTTTCACTTGTGATAGTATTTGTTATTTGTTCCTCTCTCTTCCTCTCTCCTCTTGATCCTCCTCTTCATATCCACTCTTCTTTTCATACCAATTTTTCCCTTGATCAGTCTGTCTTGAAGGTTACCCTTTTATTGTTATTTTTAAAGAAATAAGTTTGGTTTTATTGATATTCATTATTTTTGTTTTCTGTTTCATTGATTTCTACTCTATTACTTCCTTCCTTTTTGCTTTGGGCTTGCTTTTATTTTTCTAGTTTCTTCAAGGGAAGTTTAGGTAATTAATCTTAAGACTTTCTATTTTTCCAATACAAGGGCTCAGTGTTATGAATTATCCTGTATACTGTACTTTAGCTTAAAAAAGAAATTATGATATATTGTGTCTTCATTTCTTTTTTCCATCAAGGCATTTTCTGATTTCTCTTGTGATTCTTTTGCCTGTGGGATATATGAAAGATAGTTATTTGGTTTCCAAATATTTGGGTTTCTTTCTCTATATCTTTTTATATTAATTCTCATTAATTCCACTGTGGTTAAGGAACATCCTGGATGATTTTAAGCTTTTTAAATTTATTGAGATTTGTTTTTTGAGACTTGCACTATGGTCTGGAATAAGATCTTTCTTGGAAAATATTTAGTGTATATACTTGAAAAGAATATGTTTCCTGGTATTAGAATATTCTATGGCAGATCAAGTTGGTTAGTAGTGTTTCGTATCTTCAGTGTCTTTGTTTTCTATTTACTAGTCTTATCAGTTGTTTATAGAATGTTGTAAAATCTCTGACCAAAATTGTGGGTTTGTTGATTTCTTTCTACAGTTATGTTTCTACTTCATGCATCATAGAGCTCTGTCATTAGGTGCATAAATATTTATTATTGTTATTGTACTTTGATTAGTTGGTATCTTTTCTTGATTATTTTCCCTGTACTAAAGTCCATTTTGTCTAGTCCATTTTGCTTTATTTTAATTAGTATTGTAATGCTGAATCTTTTTTATTCTTTCACGTCTTTATTATAGTAAAAACACATAACATTAAATTTACCATCTTTAACAATTTTTAGGTGTATGATCCAGCAGTATTAAATTTTGTGCAACAGATCCTAGAAATATTTTATCTTGCAAAACTGAAATTTCATACTAGGGAAACACTAATTTTCTCTCTTCTTCCCCAATTTTTATTCCACCCTTTTAAATCTGTATGTATCTTTATATTTAGAGGGTTTCTAATAGATATTTATAGTTTGGCCCTGTTGTTTTTTCAGTCCACTCTGATGCTTTTTTCTTTAAATTGGTATATTTAAGCCATTCATATTTAAAATGATTATTGATATAATTGGGTCAATATCTACTATGTTTGTAAACCTTTTATATTTATTGCCTTCCATTTAAAAAAAATCTATTCTTTTCTTGCCTTCCTAGTTTAAATTTAGCATTTTATATAATTCAATTTTCTCTGTGCTTATAATAAAAGTTATATTTATTTTTTAAAAGTTCTTTATAGTTACTGCTGTAGGAGATTAAAAATAGTGGAGTAAACACTGGCAGCAAAATATAACCTTTCTACGACCTGGACTTTAGACACCTGCAAAACATCAGCTTGGTAAAGAAAAAAAGTAGATCTCCAGCAACTAGGAGAGAGCTGACACAAAAACTAGAAAATAAGAAACGCTGGAAAAACTAAGTACTACACAGACAAAAGAATGAGGCAGTCTGCAAAACTAACCCCAGCACTTGGGGAAGGGGACTTGTCTCCCCTAATACACAGTAAGTATGGATTGGGTTGGTAGCTTGAGGGAGAAACAATGGAGCAGGCTGGCAGTGCTAGCCCTAAGAAAAGTCCACAGTTATTGTAAACTGCTGAAACATCTTGGAAATTTAACCTGTAAGTAACTCCTTCCACATGGCAGGATAGAGCTGGAGAAGAAATCCAGTGCAGTGCTTGTCATATTTGAGAGTTCTTAACCAGGAGCCAGTTTGGGAAGAGGTTAATTGTTTAGACTGAGCTACAAAGCAACTATACTTCTGGGGCACCCTACCATAGTGACTGGGTGGGAGATGGCCAGAGTAGACAGATGCAGAGAGGGTGCAGGTTAGACATAAGCCCCTTGGGAAATTTAAGCTCAGGAAGGACCCTAGGGTCCTGCACTCCATAGTGAGAAGCTAGGCCATTTGTGTGTGGCTTTCAGAAGTGGCTGGGTCTGAAAGTGCTGCCATTAAGTACAATGGACTGCTTGATTCCCCCCTTTCCTACCCTGCTACATCCAACATAAAGGTCAGTGATCCATTCGGTTTCCCCATCTGCCCCCATGATTGGGGTACACTTCAGCTTGAACGTTTGCCACCATCTGGACTGTACAGACCGAGGGCCTTTGGAGCAAGGTGGGAGCCACCTCACAAATCCACAGGCCATAAAGCTAGGCGTATAGGACAAACCTATAACTTGGGGTGTGCAAAGGGACAGAGAAACTAAGTGTGGCTGGAGTGAATACAGACTTAGGGGGATACCACTGACCAACCATGCCCAGCAGGAAAGGCAAGACAGGATTCAGCATTCGCAAAAATGTGAATGTGGGAATAAAATTGGTGGTAGTAGTGACCCATGATCCCTCCCCTGTATCTGGTGGATTAAAAATATGCAGCTCCTGGAAAGAAATCACTCAGTCAAAACCATGGAGGAATTTTTTGGACTTATTTCTTTCCCCTCCTCCTCCTCCTCCTCCTCCTCTTTCTTCCTTCTTTGAGGTTTTGCAGTTTTTTCTTTTCTTTCCTTTTCCTTGTATGTTCTTTTCTGTTACATTTATCTAATTCTATTGTTTATTTATTCTTTGATAGAACCCTTTGTCTCACTTTTCTTTCCTCCTCCTCCTATTTCTTTTATTTTTCAAATTTTACTTAAGTTCCCACTTCCTCACCCCTCATCTTTACTAGTATTACTATTAAGCTTTATCAGTATATAGCTATTTAGTTTACTATATGCTATTATTGTTGAATTCATTTCTATTTTTAATGGTGGTATAGTTGTTGCATTTACTAGATATTTACTGTATGTGAGTATGTGGTTTATATTTGTGTTTATATTATAATTACAGATCTTCTTTTTATTGTTAAGGTTGGTGCAGTGGTAGCTTTTATTGGCTCTTATGGTGCATCAACTTTCAGTTTGCCTTTGACGATATTATTGTTGATGATTTTAATGTTCTTGCTAGGGTAGCATAGTTGTTATTAATTGTTTTTTTCTGTATCTCAATACACGTCTAAACTGAATGATGGGCCAATTATCCTGTACTCTAGCCTCCCATATTAATGGAGGTAGTTAGATCTGGGGACAGAGAAGCCTGTAGTCACTCAGGCCGAGTGCATCATTGAAAAGCAGACACTAACTAAAGAGATCTCTCGACTAGCAATAACATCTTTGCACTATAATCGACCGTCAGTCTTCAACACATCCACACACACACACACACACACACACACACTAGAAAAGAAAACAATAAAATGCCTCCAAAAACTCCCAGCTCCTTCAGAGCTGATCCATGCGGCACTGATGAGCAGGAAATTGTAAGTCAAACAGTTGAATTATACAAAGTGATAAAAGAGGAAACAAAAAAGTTAATGAGGTGCTTATTGCACTTCCATTATAAACAGATGGGCTTAATAAACAAAATGATCAGTGAACTTACAGAAGACCTAATAAAAAGATAGCTGAGCTAAACAAAATGATACAAAGAATGAATTATCATCTTAGCAAAGAATTAGAATCCATGAAAATGTTCCAAACAGAAATCCAGATTAAAGATTTCTATTGAGAGTATGAGAAGCAGAAGTGACCAAAATGAAGAGTGTCAGAATTAGCAGATGCAAATATCTCATGTACTCAGAGATATTTTTAAAAACAACAAGAGAAGCTGGGCATGGTGGCACACTTCTGTAATCCCAGCATTCAGGAGGCTGAGGCAGGAGGATTGGTATGAGTTTGAGACCAGCATGGACTACCTACTGAGTTCAGTGCTATCCAGAACTCCATAGCAAAACTGTGTCTAAAAAAACAAAACAAAAACAAAAACAAAAACAAGAGATCAAGGAAAATGGATTCAATGGCTGCTAAATGACACAAACAAGATTAATCTAAGATTAATTAGAACAAGTAAAAAACACAGAAAGGATGAAGAATGGCATAAAACATCTATTTACAGAAGTCAGAACAGAGAAAATTCCAAGTATGGAGGAAGAATTTACCATATAGATGTTGAAATGAGGCATGTGGAACCCCCAAATAGCCATAATCAGAAAATAACTTCTCCACAGCACATCGTAGTCAAAAATTCCAGAAGTCCAACACAAGGACAGAATCATAAAAGCCATTAGAGAGAAGCAATGAATCATTTATGAAAGTAAACCCATTAGAATTACAGCAGATATCATAATCCAAACCTTAAAGGCCAGGAAAGCTTTGAGTGAAGTATTTCAAGCCCTAAAAGTAAACAACTTGCAACACAGACTGCAATATCATGCAAAACTACCTTGCAAAATTCCATGACAAAGAAAAAAAGCTACATTCCATGACAAAGAATACTTTAAGGAAGTCATGACTACTACACTAGCATTCCACATACACAAAAAATTCTTAAGGATATAAAAAGGCAATGAAATCAACATTGCTCAAAGTCTAGTGGGATGAATACATCAGGTAGAGTGAGCAGTTAAGCAGAAGAGGGAAAAATAAAATGAATTAGTGACAAGAAAATAATGTGATGATAGAAATGTTGTACTTTGCCTCTGGAAGGCTGAAGGAAACACAGCCACAGTCATCTGTTTTGACATAGCTTTTTCCAGGCTATGCTCTGTTCAGCAGAATGATGAGTTTTATCAAACAACTAACCCAACTGAAGAGGAAGCCAAAACCCCAGAGAAAAGCCAAAGTGACATAGTTGTTGCTATCAGTTGATTTTCTCCATGTGCCAGTATCTGGAATCAGGGATTCGTAAATCATACTGATCATTCCTGAAGAACTGGGTACTGGGCTAAATAGGCTGCAACCTTCCATCCCAAATAAATGGAGATAGTTGGATCCTGGGAAGGATAGCCATGCTTAAAGGACATCTCCATAAAGTAGACATTACTACAGAAAAGGTCTCTGTATTCATAATGAAGTTACCCATTATAATCGTTTGGCAAGCCTCAGCACAGAAAACAAACAAAAAACAGAAAGAAATATGAGAAAACAAGGCAAAACGCCTCCAAAATCTTCCAGTTCCCCCAAAGCAAATCCAGTGGGTGTTGAGGAGGGAATCAAAAGCCATAGAGACAAAATATCTGAAAGGATAAGAGTGAAGGTTAAAAAAATGAAAGAGATCAACAAGGTGTTTGGCAAACTCCAAGAAGATATAATTCAACAGCTAATGATCCTAGTGAAATAAATGATCAGTGAGTCTAGAGAAAACACTAATAAAAAACTAGATGAACTAAAGAAAGAGATGCAAATCATGCATTCCCAGCATAGAAAAGAATTGGAGTACATAAAAAGTTCCAAACTGAAAACGTAAGACTTAAAAAACTGTATTAAAAGTATGGGCAGCAAAAGCAAGCAATGTGAGGACAAAGTGCCCTGTAGTTGGTGATCAGTTAATGACAGACATTGTAAAAACAAGAGAAGGTAAAAAATGGACCCGAGAGCTGCTAGATGATACAAGGAAGACTAATCTAAAATTGAATGGAATTAATTCAAAATCAAAAGATAGCACAAAGGGTATAAAAAAACTCTTTACAGAAGTAATAGCAGAAACTTTCCAAACATGGAAAAAGAATTTAACACACAAATAAGTGAGACATCCCCAAATCTCATGATCAGAAAAGAACCACCTGAAGGAACATCATATTCAAATTACCAGAAATCCAACACAAGAACAAAATTTTAAAAGCTGTCAGAGAAAAATAATGAATCACTTATAAAGGAAAACCCATCAGAATTACAGCAGTCTTCTTATTACAAATCTGAAAGATAAAGAGAATTTGAAGTGAAGTGTTCTAAGCCCTAAAAGAAAATAACTTCCAATCCAGATTGATATATCATGAAAAATTATCTTTAAAATTTGATGGAGAAATAAGATATTTCCATGAGGAAGAGCACCTAACAAATTCATGACCACCAAATCAGCACTCCAAAAAATTCTCAAGAATATCCAATGAAGCTAACAATGCCAAAAAGGTTGACTAGAATAAATGCACAGGCAGTGTGAGCAATTAAATAAAAGTGAAAGAAAAGGAATCAGCAGCAGTGAAATAATACAATGATAGTAAAAAGCCAATATCTGCTGGTTACAACTATCAATATGAATAATCCCAATTTGCTAATCACCATAACATGAGTAATACACTATTTAATTAAGAAATACTATTATTATTGACACATGGAGTGAGCCATATGGAATTTGCAGGCAAGGTAATATTTAGAGCCTTAAAATGTTGGTACAGAGGAGTGGATGAAATGTAAACAGTGAAAATAGGTTCCTCTTCAGTGGGTACCAAAATATATGGGCAGGAAGTATGGATCATGACATGATCAGATGTATCACACCAATTGTCTTGGTTACTTTTCTCTTGTTGCTGAGACAAAATACCCAACGCCCAAAATGAAGGAAGGAAAGGTTTATTTAGCTTACAGTTTGTGGAAGTTTCAGTCCATACTTGGCTGGCTCCGAGGCAGAAGGTAGCAAAGCAACAAGAGCAAAGAGGGGGAATGGCAGCCGAACAGCAAAGCAGCCAGA